GCAATGTTGGCGTTATTGAAAGATCAACATATTATTCTTAGTTACCTAAATTCGAAAATTGGTAGTAAAATTTAACATAGTTCTAAGCTCTATTTATCAAAGTATCAAGAAAGTAACAAATACTGAATCGACTAAGCATTTATATATGTTAAATTATATTTAAATATATTCAGGCTTTTTTTAATAGAGTTATTTAAGATATTAAAAGTATAGACTTACAAAAGTTTGAAATTTTATCTGTAAATTTTAGACACTTCATAAATTTTGTTCGTAGGCGGCAGATTTATGTTGTAAAGTTCGCGTAATTGATACGCCTGAACATTGTTTTGTCTATTTCAGCGTTACAGAGCTATATAGAATATTGCATTTTCTTCTAACATTGCATTTTCTAATTTATAATAAGCATAAATTTGGAACTAAACCAATATACTTAATTTGAAAAATATGAAATACGGCATATCTCAAGAAACATTTCAACAAATAAAACTTTAACAAAACTTATATGGAAACAAGAAAAGTGTGTCACACTGTTGGAATAAGATAAAATAAAATACGAAGAAGGCCGAAATTTATTTATATGTATAAAAAGTTCTATGTTAGTATTATAAAGTTATATATATCTAAAGGTAAAGTTAAATATAACCGAGAAATGTTTTCGCAAATAAAGATTGATGACGGTCTGCCGGAAATAATCGAGGCTCTAAACATTATGAAAATTTTGCGGAGGTTATGAAAAAGTTGGGTTGTATTTACGTAGGAATTGTTAATAAAAAAATATATGACGTTTCTATGACCTATATTACAAGCGCCCATTTAAAAAAAGCAGATTATGAGAAGCTTTGAATCATACAATTGTAGTAAGTACTCTATTTGCTTTGTGACAACGACTCGAATATTTTTCTACATTAAATACTCTTTATTATAAAGTAGAGGGTATAGTCATTATTAGTACTCTAATTAGTAAAAGAACCATAGCATATTAAAATAATAATTATATACATAAGATCGTATTTATGTAATGTTAAAGAAAGCTTTATATTTTAAAAAACTAAATTAAGCATTCAGATTTCCAAATTTGGCGGTTTTTCATTAAAACAGTTTTAATATAGCAGCTTAAATCTTTATACAGCCGTATTTGCATAACCTGATTACATCATTTATTCTACAATCCCGAAACCAGATAGTTTATTAATTATACACGTGTATAATACACCTGAAAATGTCGGACTGCGGTAGACTATGGCCTTTGCCTCACGGTTATTCGGTCGAGGTCGCTTTCCAGTAACAAGTACGTCCATTTTGTATCGCAAGAATTTAATTAGTTTCAGATACAAACCACATCTATTTAGTGTTTGTTAGATTAATGATTACGTACGGATTGAATCAATAGCATGTTTCTTTAAAACGAAATATTATTTACATTAAACACGTACGAGGTTTGAGTAAAATTTATTTTGTATACATATATTTTTATTGAAAACCACTCATTGTTTACGGATTATAACGAGAATATCAATATATTAATTGTCATTAAAAATAAATATACTTTAAAGTTATGGAAGTATATTAAATTTATTCGATGACACAATAGGTTATCGATTTTAATTGTCAATGAAGACTTCGATATTGTTTCTTGGATACACAAAATTTTTCAATATTTCTAATTTTCCAATGGGTTGAGTAGTTTTTAAAAGAATTCCCTGTATATATGACTTACGTAATGGTCTTTTGGTTGTTGCATGCAAGCCATTTTCATAGACCCTAATGTGCAAAGTCGAAGACAAATATCACATATAAAAAAATTGTTTTACCTATTAAAGGTATACTTATATGATTTTTATAAAATATCAACGGTATTTAGTCCCCGTAATCAGAGGTGGAACACTATTCAATTCTTAATTGCACAAACTAAATTCTAAATTATGACGGCTATTACTCATTTTATATTAAATTTTCCAGCCGCGATATAAAATGCTGTTGCTTGTTATTGTGCCACTTATATAAAAAATCAGTGGTTAGACACGGTTCTTTAATATACACAAATAATTGTTACTAATGCTCCGATTACTGCTTAGAATACTATGCTATAAATTAATTGCTGTTTAATAATTTATATCATCTATGAATAAAATAATTGTTTTAATAATAATTAACATTGAGATGTGATTCTCTTGTTAATTTTAATATTATATTAGTCAGTCAGTGGTTAAAGGGTCCGCCTGTCGTTGCCTAGGGCGCGGGTTCAAACCTGGCAAGTACCAATGTGATTTTTCGGAATCATATGTACTTTCTGAGAGTATTAGAGTAGTAGAGACACCACTGACATACGGTGAAGGAAAACATCGTGAGGAAACCTGGACTTATAGTTTCACAATTATAAGTTTGAAATCACCAACCCGTCTTGAGCAAGCGTGGTGATTAATGCTCAAACCTTCTCCATGTGAGAAAGAGGCCTTTGCTCAGCAGTGGGCGCTGATAGGCTGATGACGACGACGATTAAGATAAAAGGTTTAACTTGATAGTTGAAATCTATTATTAAGATCTGTTTTACAATTGTAAACAAATCCCTAGATTATGTTTAAAGTAATATCTTTGCCTTTCCTATCTACTAGAGCTTACTTGTATTATTCTTACGAATACTAAAACTTTTTTTTATAAAATGGTAATTACCTCAATGCTTAAAATTCAAAAAGAAATATTTTTTTACTTAAAAACCAACCCAGTGATCTTTTGATAATGGAAAGTTTCTTGTTATTTTAACGGATTTTGAGAATACATTAAGCTTAGTTCAAAGTATGTACAGCCTCGGTAGTTTAACATGAAATTTTTGTATTTTTAATAAAGAATGTTCTTAATTAATAAAATGTTAAAGATACTTAGTTTTATCAAAATTATTAATGGCTGTATATAATTAATGGAAACCGCTCGTCATCCGATGCGATGGGCCATAGAAAAAAAATCTTTCATAATAAACAATAAGACTATGAAATGCAAGAATTTTGATTTAGGAAAGATAAGGAGGTCAAGACAAAAGCAATCACCAGTCCTTTTATATAGTAAACTGACTTATCTTCAGATTATAAAATTTGGCTTTCATATTACAAATTATTTCTTTCATAAATATGTGGCAAGTAAAAAATAATTAAGTTATAAAAAGTGCTTGTCTGCTTCATGTTAAAACTAAAACACCTAGTTCATTATTTCTTTTAAAGCCAGCAACATTAAGAACTTTTAATGAACGTTATCTTTTAAAGTAACAAAGTCTGACATTTATAAAAACACCGCACTTTTAATGTGAATTTTAGAATGTATTTTATTTCATTACAGATAATAAATAAAAAAATATTAAATCTATTTCCTTTCTATATGTATCCTTTTAAAAATTATTGGTAAAATCCACGATTCAATTAGGTTGCGGTAAGTGCAGGTAAAATGATACCGCCTCTTCAGTTGATACTAACTAGATAAAAATCTACCTAGAATATTTCATAGCAGCGAGCACCTGAATTTCTAGCATGACGTTAAGCTTATATAATTCGAGGCTTTAGTATGATTTACATTGTTATTTACTACAATATTCATTATTATATTATTTAATGTATTCAAATATATTAAATATTTATATTTAAGTAATTAAACTAAAGTATTATTACTATGACGGTTCGGTATGTTTAGTCATAATTCGATCATACTCATTTCAATATTTAGAAATCTGTTTAAAATAAAACACATGATAATAAATTTATTTTTATTAAAAAAATCTATAACCTCAACGCAGATAATAACAAGATGTTTAAATGCACTTAAATATAGAAAAAGACTAGAAACTCTCGAGATATCATGATTCAAATAATTTTTACATTCTTCGCTACCTCTTTTGTTATAGACGTTTTGTTATGTCACAAATACTTTATAGAAGCAAAGCATCAGAGTTTACAAAGTTGCTTTCTTTCAAAATAATGGACGCTTTGTTTCTTAACAGAACATTACGTATTACAAGAGTCCAATTATGTAACACACTGAAAATGAAAAAAAAAATAACGTTAAGGCACATACATCAAGAGAACACAAATGTTTCTATTATACACACATTGTAACTAGCTCGAAATATTAAAAATTATAAAGAATTACTATAAAAAATTAAAAAGCATAGATTAAATACCGGTGCATAGGGTCGAGCTAAATTCTAATATCGTTAACATCTAACGTCACCTGTGAAGTACGGCCGGTCATTATGGCGATGGATTATGAACACGTGTGAGCGACAGATTAAAACAAGTGACATTTAAAATGGTTGGTCTCTATTTACTCAGCCGAACAATTTTTTGTACCATTTTTTATACATTAGTTACTCAAACAATACTTTCGGGTACTAAATTAAATGGGTTCTAATATCGAGGAGATGTTAAAGTAACAATTTTATTATTTCACACATTTATTTAAATATAAAAAAAATATATTTATATTAAAACTTAACCTCTTATCGCTCATGAAACTGGAAAGAGCAAAGTTTGAATAGTAAATAGACCAATCCTTTTAGAAGCACTTTTAACTTACAAATTCTCACTTCAAGTGTTACCATGAACGTGCTCTAGTATGGGGAAGTACATAAATGATCAGCAAAACTCACTCGCCCTTAAAAGCTTACGTAATTCATGCAAGCTTCAGAGGCTGACCTCATTTAGGTTACAACTTGCTCCAAACACTACATTAGCGAAACTTATTGAAGACATTAAGTATTATGCTCGCCGCGAGGGTGTCGAGTTATAACATTATTAGATATATTAATAATAATTAGTAGGAAACGCCCTGGTGAGCACCTGTAATAGGATTCCCATTAAAAAACAATGTTAACTTTTATAATTTGTATTCTGCATCTGTAGAAGAATTTCGTTTAACTCAAAATCGATGAAAATATTGAAAAGCTTTTGAATTTTATATTAAAAGATAACATAGATGTTAGTGAAGTATAATGGAAAAATTTTCATCTATCGCATTGTCTAGTCGGCGTAGAGTCCTTCGTAAAGAGATCGTGGCATGTGCTCAGCGAGGAGAGACTTTAGTTTCTCTCGCGGGGAGACCGGGGTGTAGCGAGCCAGAGGGAAGGTGCGGGTGACGCCATCACTAAGCGCCCGCGTCACAGCCGTTAGGTCAGCGTCCTGAGAAAATTTCATTATCAAACATATTTTTTTATATAACAGCCTTATCTTTATAACATTTAAGAATATTAACTAATTCAAATATTTGTATTTAGATAACAAGTATAGAATATTTTGATTGAGTTTAGTTTTTTGTTAAATATTATTAGTATAATATAATACATAATAGCCCGCGTTTTTTTATTTAATAGCTTACTAAGCTCATTTTAAATATATACTTTCTTTTATATTCCATTCCTTTGTCACTTTATTTATAGTCCGTTGAACTTAGAACTTATGAATTCTGAAAGAAGTTATTGTATTTGGTACATTGTAACCTCCAAGGCTGATCGTTTATCATTCAATTTCAACGCTTTGTTATATTTTTACAAATACGACTTTTTTTCATCTACACAAAGTTACAAGCTGTACTGATATATTTTACGCGATCTTACCAAAATTTCTAGAAGAAATTACTATCAAGTTCACCCAAATTGTAAATTCGAAAGAAAGTAATCAGTTTTAAATAAGAAAATTCTCTAATAAATTTATTTTATTCAGTAACAGTTGATATTATTACACAATTAACATCATCGGTATGTACATACTCATAGGCGGGAATCAATTAAGATGTATATAATACTACAATATACAACCTCTTTTAATACATTAATTTGAATAAATCCTAGAACTTTATTTAATAAAAATGAATTCAACTGACCCTTAAAGTAATCACAGCAATAACAAAAAGTACTTTCACGAAACTACATGCTTTTGTTTCATTCATAAAAAAATCATCAAACTGTAGCAACATGATGTGCGCTTTCCGTTATTTTTGCATGTTTTCATGGTTTAGCTTTGTATGAAGCGTGCCGAGCATCAAAAATGTTTACTTCTTTGATCTCAATGTTGCTCGTTTTGGCAGTCAAGAGTTGACGAGAGACGAAAGTAATTTGAAATTGTTGTTTAATGAAATATAATTGAATTATAATCCGAAAGTAAATTTAAGTTAATGACAAAATTTTACAATATATATTATAGACATTGTTATAAATGGATTACAAATTTGATGATCCATTACAAAAATGTCTTATGTCTAAAAAGTCGCTAATTTAATGAAATGTGATAAAACTTCTAAAAATGTTTTATATTATAATTGGCAATTTTGGTCCTCAAACACTAACTAAATTTATTCATAAGAAATAAATTTCAAAGGCATTCATTTATGTATGTATACATTAGGGACTTTAATATAATAATTTTAGCCTTGGCCGTAGTTAGAATATATAATATTCTTTATACGTAGCTAAATTATAAAGATTATCTTTTTTTACTCTTATAGATAATTTTTTTTTTAATTTTATAAAATTGTTTTATATTATTGGTGTCTCGTCGAAGTTTAATTCGAAAATATTTATATTTAGTAAAATATTGCAATACCAATTTATGTTTCAAATTGTTTTAAGCAGAACACAGAAAACACTTTAATAATTTAAAAATAATATTCATGTAATAATAAATGTAAATTTTATTAAAATATAATAAGTTGTGATAAACTTACAGGGCTTTTTGTGTATTTCTCAAGGCTCCTCAGCGCTTGTTCGAAGTAATCCTCTCCGTAGGCGCCCTTTTGTTCGTCACTGAGTCTTTTCCACATATCCCTAGCTTGCTCTAGAAGTTTCTCCTCGGAGAGCCAAGCGCTACCTGTAGTGTATTCACCCGCAGCGACAACGACCTACAATGGTTTGCATTTCAGTATTACAATGCTGAAAGAAACTATATTAAATTTTGGAATTGTTTCGTTTTATAAATAAAGAATAATACAAAAAAATAACTGGAATTTATTTTTATTAAACATGTATAAATGAAATTTAGTTTCATCTAATTTAGGTTGTCCGTTAAAGAATAATAGGAATAGTTCAAATTACCTTTCAAAGAAAATAGGTTAAGACAAAGTTTTCCATTAAGAATGTTCCTAACTTCCCGATTAAATCTGAACAGCTAATTAAGTCTTTGGAGGAAAGTTGTTAACCTGCTCCCTAATGAACGGTTACATTCAGGTTATTGGTAAATGTCGTTGTAATATTTAGTTAGGAATATTCATATTTCTTTCAGACACATATTTATATAACCGTAATTATAAGTCGATGAGAAATTGACAGAAGCCATTCTTAAATTTATGATACTAGATCATTTTAATAATTCTTTTTCCTATAAAGTTTGTCTTAATTTAACCCTCGTCGATGTTTCTAGGTCAACTGTCTATCACTTGTCTTTAAAACAGGAATTGTTTGGTTTTCTTCAACATGAATTTGAACCAGCTAATTGGAACACTGGTTTAACAAATGTTTTTTCTTGTCTTTCAGTTTAAAAATTCAAAGCTTTCAAAACCCACGGGAATTTTGAAGGAAAGTAGCAAAATACATATGTTATTCCAGGTATATATGTAACTAGTACATATTTATTACATATATATATAAATAGAGGATTTTATTTGGTTTATTTTGTACAGGTTCACCTCTATGTATAGTTTCCTTTATGTTACTACCACTTAAGTACTCGAGTGCTTGACACACCTTTGATGACTAACACGGAATCCAATTTAAAACTTACTCCATAGAACTACTATTTTAGACATAACAATATAGTATTTAAATAGAATGAAGTCTTCCTATACTATTTTTTTTTAATTGAGTAATATATTATTCCTTACAACATCAACACCCCTAGGTTTGAGTTCTCGCCGCAGACAGGCAGCAAGCGCGTCCAAGGCGGCCAATGAAGCTGCATGAACACCTCTTACTGGAGCAGCAACGTGAGTTAGGATCGATGATGCCAGAACAACACGTCCACGAGCACGGCGCACTAAAGGCAGCATCACTTGAACTAAACGAGCCGGTCCTAGAACATTTTCATCTTAATTAGATACTTTAAACTAAATCTTCACTTTCCCTCATGTAAAATATCACGTTCTACAATTTTTAAAAGCCAGTAATCAAAACTGACTCTTCATAAGTTTTTTTTGTAAAATGTCCAATGAAAACAACGAAATAAAAAATGTAATAACTTTTTGAAAAACGGTCTGTTCATAGAAAACCACTGTCAGTAGCGGTAATTCCTTGACCTGAAAAGAACTCGTTATTTGAAGAATTGTGAATCCACTTGAATCTGTAACTGGAAAAGCATTAGTAGCCCTCGACGGCAATAATGAATTAGTTACGTTTTTTCCACCCATAAATGGATTATATTTAGAAGTACTATTCCGTTTAGAAGGAACCATCAGTCGATGGTAATTTCAGAACTCTCAATTTTGTTATCATTGAATTATTTTATGATTAAAATAACAAACTCGATAAGGTGATTAAACATTTTGTATTACTTATGCTATGATATATAAACATCGATTAAAATTAGCTCAAATGGATAACCTTGATGTCTTGTGTTACTGAGATATAGACACTGGGCAGTATAAGAAATAAATATCTATACTTTTTAAGCTAAACATACTGCAGTCATGATTTAAGAAGATTTCAACTAGCATAAGGAATTCAACCACAATTTGAAATGAACGTCAACATCAAATAACTGTCGCGTTATTTGGTATTCGAGAATTTCTTAGATATTTAGACTGCGGCATCATTCTTACCACAGTTACCTAGATTCTCTAAAAATATTTCTATACACTGCAATGACTGAGTAAGTCGTAAGATGTCAAATAAAAAAATATATGTCAATTAAAATGCCACGTTCGATGTTCAGAAGAAAAAAACACCGAAACGAGTTCTAAATTCAAAATCGTCTGAGAAATGTGACTCCTACGGGAGAACAAACACTGACCCTTTTCAATACCATACTTAAGATACGCTTCAGAATTTACATGACCTAATCGAAGTTAGTATTTACCGTCTACCCTAAGATCCACAGGTATCTCTTAAGAGTAGAAACGATAGTCATGTTACCAATAAATTTTATCAAAACATGTATGAACATGTTGACATAAAATATTAGTATGAGAACGACAGACAAAATTTATATCAGAAGCAGCCGAGTCTCAGCGGTGATATCAATATCCTTCTTGTTGAAAATTTTATTATGCTCATATCAAAAGTGCCGTGGTTATAAAGATATTTGCCATTGTTTTTATTTAATATTTAACTTCAAAAAGATTAGCCAGCTGAATATCTGTTAAAAATAAATCTACACAAAGAAATAAAGGATTAATATTTTGATTAAAAGATTTTAGTTTAAGTGAATTAACGAGAACAAAAATCGCTTCGCCTACAAGTGGTATCGCACAATAACTGAAAAAGCATTGTTTTACGAAGTTTTTACAGCCCAATTATTTCTCAAGTACTAGTGGCTATGCTTTTCAAATTAAAATACTGGTAATAAGAATTTAATATTTTAAAATGTGTATGTTTTTTTGGTATATTATTGTCTATCAACAAAAAGATTTAATGATTTTAAAAATCATTAGACTGCTCTTGAGTTACATGATTTGTTTATGTTATGAATTCGATCACTTATTATTGTCAACGAAAGTGAAAATAAGGATTCAGGAATAATATCATGAAATATCTGTTATTTCATAAAATATAACATGCAAACCAAGAGACACTATTTTCAGAAACTCTTCAATCTTTTTAAATTTCTTTAATTAAATTTGATTTCGTCCCTGAATACAGTGACTTCATTTATAATTTTAAAACAGTTATACAATATGAGAGCATCATTATTCTGAAATGTGTTTTTTTCTTGTTTTATTTTCAAAAGCTTCTTCACTATATTATAATGACTGAGCAATTTATTCATCTGAGACCTGATGTGAGTGTAAACGAATTAGTCTGTTTGATGTTCACCTGTTTTATGCTTACAAATTGTAATTATTCTACAAGATTTCTCTTTGTATAAAAGATTCATTTTATATTAATAAAATGTATATTTTGCGATTAACATAGTCGGTGTCAATTATACATATAAGAGGTGTTTATAATTTTATTAGGGTATGTTTACGTAATAGTAATAAGATAAGATTTACATTTAATTTATATAAATACAATCAATAGGTTTAATTAATTAAGACAAGAAATAAATCTCTACGTCGAAACAAACGCCATCTATTGCCTTAAATAAGAAAATGAGATACCGCCATCTTACGGTGAGGATACCAGTGTAACTTACCTAACAAATTAACTTCCATGGCGCGTCGTATTACGGAAAACGGCACCCATTCTAGTTCACCCAAAGCACACCAGGATTCGCAGTTCACGATTGCCCAAAGACCTTGAGCGCCCTCTGGCAGGTGATCAACTATGTACAGAGACGCTGAAAGAATCTGAAATGTCAAAACATACGGCGTGGTATTAAATCACTTTTTCATTCCAAGTGAGGTCGCTGATGACGGCTAATAAATCTGAAAGTGTTGTTAATGTTATCGTAGCAACACAATGTTTTACCGGTTTTAATGAAATTAAAATTATACAGCAAATGTAACAAAAATTACACAATAATTCGGTATCTTTTGGGCACCTGTTATCAGTGTTATCACACCAGTCTCTTTATAATCTTGGGTATTGATCAGACAATGAATAAAATGAAACGTGGAGCGGGCATAATCCCAGCACACATGTAAATAATAATTTATAATGAGATGAGCTTTTTCTGTCGGCAGAATTATTTTGTAGCCTTTGATACATAATTAATGTATTTTTTTAAACTTTTAAGCCGCCATTTTGTTGGTAGCCATCTTAAATTCACAGTAATAATTAATTTTTTTTTTTTTTCATGTAGGCTAAAAATTTTAAACAAAATTTAGAACACTTTCTATAACACACAGGAAGGAGATTGAATGGCAATTAATAAATTTGAATTAATCTAAAACTTAATGTATAAACGTGAACTTCCAAGGTTTATTAAAAATTGTTTATTGAAAATTTAAGATAAATAAATGAATAATAATTCTAGAGTCTTAGCCCTCTTAAATCATATGAAGTTTTGTTTTTCAAAGAAAATTTTAGTTTATGTTTCCCTTTGCCACTTTAAAACGAATTAGTATTTGGAAGTAATGGTTACTGCGATGTTATTTGTTAATATGAATGAAAGTATTTTTTGTTTGTGATTATTTTATTTATTAAGGACAACGTTATAACTACGCAGAGAGTATTAAAAAAACAACAAAATATTACAATTGTTATTTCTTTAAAAAAATACATATCATTTTAAACTTCATTTTGTCCTTTTAAATTAAACTAATATTTTTCGGATATACTACGCGACTTTATTTTTGTAAAATAATACTCTCGACGCGACGTTTCGGCTACTTTTTAGCAACTGTGATAGCGGGCAGACGAGATCTTAGATTTCATTTCATTCTATCCTCTTGTAAGAATAAGTTAAAATGAACTTATAATAATTCCATGAAAAAATATTCTGCACTTTGGTGAGTATGGAAATGTAAAGAGTGTTATTACACGTAGTATGGCGAATATTATTTTATCCTATTTATTACATATTGTATCTCAAAGGAAATCAGAATGAAGTTAGATGGATAAATCCTATAACTTGACTTCTCAATACTTTAGCTGGAAGGTTGTTACTTAAAATTATATTATAGCTCTTCAGAGAACATGAAAAATATTGCTATCAAAAGTAACAATAACAAGAAGACTATAGTAATGTAAACTGATGTGATAATGGATTAATTTTAATACAGCCACAAAGCACGATAATCGTACAATAATACCTTAACGACGTAGACTTGGATTACCGGAAACTGTAATTGATTGGCGAAGCGACCTATATAATACATGATACAGGAATCATGTTAAATCATAATAAAACGAAAGATAAGGCTAAGACGTCGAAAAGATATTGCTAAACTAATAGTTAATTATTTTCATTATACACCGTATCCTTTTAAATGAAAATTATAATTTTGTAATATAGTCAAGTTGAGGAATATAATATATAAAATATAGCATATAATATATGAAATATAGCATTTTTCCGTAACATTTCATGTTCTTTTCGGCGTAAAAATGAAGTACTCGTTGAACAAAATATGTTGCAGGTGCTTTAATTAAATTTGAAACATGAGCTACTTCTGAATTCTCAATACATCTGTTATTCAAAGCCAATTTTATATTAGAAATATTTTTTATATATCACATTCACCTTTAATATAATTAAAGAATTAAATTTGTATTTGATGAAATTTCTGATGCCATCCTATTGATTTTTTTTCTAATTCAAAACTATTATTAACCTTTTCAGTGAAACTACAAGTTATATTTTTTTTATTTCTTTGTATGATGGGTTTTTAAGAAGTTTATTTTTTGTTTAAAGCATGATGTGATTATCGGGACATCCACACTCAACGTTTAAAAATTTTGAAATTTTAACAAGTTACTATATTACAGATACTCGCATTAACATTTGTCATACTTTTACCTAAAAGATATCGGTGTAACTATTAGATTGAACTATGTACACTGACATTTAATAGAAAAATGATTTATGAAAATGTTTTATCCTACGGAATAATTATTTCTTTGCTTTATTATTTTTCTAATAAAAATAATTCTCAACTTTATTATCTAATTAAGAATTAATTATTATGAGACGTCTTTCAGATTTTAATTGTTATATTTTCTTAAGGTGTACCTAAATGTTACGCCAACAAAAATTATGTTAAGCTTCGAGCGTGTACATGTACATGTACCTTCTTTACTAGACTTTGTAAATAATCTCGTTAACTTCATTATTATAGCCTATAAATTATGAAAGTTACAAACTCCATTGAAACGTCTTAGACTGTAAGGTTGAAATTTGGCAAAAAAATATCTTTATAATAAAAATATAAAGCAATACTTCCAGATTCTTTAATGACAAATGGGATGTTACAAATATTACTTTTATTTATTAAGGATACTTATCCTTTTTTATTTATTAAAATATATACTTGTATATTTTAATAAATTACTTTTAATATGTAATTTTGTAAACAACTTACTACAGTAAGTTTATTGCTAAGAAATATTTCGAAACTTAGTAATGAAATTACAAAAAACAATATAATATTGGATTTTATTTCATAAAATATCTTATATTATTGAATAGAATACTCAGAAGTGTGTTAAAAATATTAATAAAAAGGAAGGAACTTGAAATCTATAAATGTTTTTCTTAATTATAAGCCGCATGAATTGTTAAATCTGTCATTTTATCTTTTCCCAGTTTAATATATTTTCAATGATAATTAAGAGATACCTAATGTTTTTCTATAATTTTTGGAATATTTTCTTAAATAAGTTCTTGATAATAAAAGTTTAATTCTTAAATTTATTCAAATAATTTTATTTTACTGCCATTCTTGTTTCGATCCAATAGATGTTATGATATTTTCATAAAAAAGAGTCGTGAGTTTGTCCACAGTGGAGAGTATCGGATGTTTTTATAACAATATTTAAAGTAATTGTCTAATTTTATTTTATAAATTATTATACTTTATTTTAGTTTTAATATATCAAATGTCATAATTTACATTTAATTTCATAGTAAAAATGTTTATAAAATCAATAAAATATTTTTATGGAAATAGAAAAAAATATTATTAACTCAGAAATTTAGTAGTAGTAGTATTCAATTATTATTAAGCTCAAAGGCTTTAACAGTAAGGTGTGTTAATTATAATACCTGTGTTTCTGATGTTATGTCAAGTTGCAAGGTGTGCAACCTTCCGGAGCAGTCTTCTTTGAGCATGTCAGCGTCAATGTTGCCTGCCTTGTTTTGAAAACCCGCGAACACATGATAGCCCAAGTCGTCCAATCTTCTAGCCAGAGCATTTCCCAACACATTGTCACATCCTGTCACCAAAACCGCTTTCCCTGCAGCTGTTACCTGACAAAGAAAAACGTATATATTTTCAGAATTGAAAAACCGTTTCATGTATACTCTGTTTTCAAAAAATATCATACAATTGTCAAATCATTAATATACGTTTCTATAGAATTATTAATTCATATTTAAATTCAACAATATACTTTTCGCATCTAATTATTCGCTTTAAATTAACACAATTATTTAGAGAGTGTATTTCAATTGTGACAGCCGGCGGGTGAAATAAAGTTTTCATTTGAAATAGATGGTGACAGGTTGATAGATGTCGGTTATAATAACCGCTAAGTGAATATTTTATTTAGGCATTTGTGAGTACTTCCACCTCTATGCGTGACGCGATGACGTTCATACTTAACTATTTCAGGGTTGCCTAATCGTTAATTCTTAATTCTACTGTTCTCTTACTGTTTTAAGTCACGCACAAATCAAAAGTTACCCATTTACATATGCTTAATAATCACGTCATTTTGTGTCATTCTTCTTATTTGGTTTCATTCAAAGTTGAAAATAATTTCAGTCTATATTTAGATATGTCATTAAGTTGTTGTTATAAGAATGAAATAGTATAAATTCATAATTTATCACGTGAGTTAAGTGGGCTAAGCTGTCTAAGACATTTTCCGTTTGAAAAGAAAAAGGTTTAAGCAGAAGTGTCTATTTTGTGAAAACGACCGTTAACCTATTTTTAAATTGGACTTTCGAATGGAGTGGATGACGCAAGTGAATGTACCGAGGTTGGCAACAAGCTCTGCATTTGCTACCTAAATGTATGTAGATCTCAATCAATAAATAATTATATGTCGACGAACTCATAAATTATATATCCATTTGTTATTTATGAAAATAGAAATTTTCTACCTCTCCTAGAGAGATTTATTTTATTTTAAATGTAAATATGTTCGTTATTATTACATATGTTTATGTATAAGTGTAAATATAGATAATATGCGATATATGTACTTATATCTGTTCGTGCAATATTTTGCCTCTCAAAAACTCTCACGATTGTCAAAGGAATATTTAAAATTAATTTCTTTTTCCTCAACTTACTTAGGAAGGTTATTTTTTTTTCTACATGAAATTTTTAATTATATTAATAATACACAATAAATAAAAAATAACATGAAGGTTCCTGTACATATGTTTAAATAATTTAGTGAATTTAAAAACAAAACGGTAATGTAACAAATATTATTATACTTTTTGTTAACCATAATAATGTTTAAAATTCTTAGAATAAATCATCAATACGTTACAATTAAATTTATTGTCAGTATACTGATTTAATACAATATATTGGAGAGACATCAATGAAGTTATCGTAATCTTGTAAATCAGAAAATTTGTACGTATTTGTAAAATATTTGGTTTATATAATGCAGTATAATAAGAAAGAAATAAGTTTAATATGTAAATATATATATTCGTAAATATTGATTGGAATAAAATTAATAAAGCAGGTGTCCGCATCAAGTCTAGTCCGCTAACTTGTAATCCTATCACTAAGAAGAAATACAGATAATAAAATCATGCAAAAACCGTCAAGTATGTTCGAGCTTCAAATATTATATATATAATAAAAACAATATAAAGAAAGTTGAAGTAATATAAAGACAATTAAATTGTTAAAGAATCAAGATAAAACATCATTGTCAAAGTTATGTTTTTATTTAATAAAAGGCAAGCGTACAATTGAAAATATAAAGTAGTCTTTCCAACTAAACAATTAAGATTCTTTAAAATCAACTGACGCGAAAACAAACCAGAAGTTCTCAAATGCTAATATACTTTAATTAATAGCTTTTGAAATTAACTTGTTATAACATTACTTTGTGAAAATAACATTCTTGAAGCAGCTTGTTTAACATACCTATTAAAATAAACAAATATTTCACTTATAATATTTTTGAATACGAATTTTATTTTCTCTGAAAGATGAAAGAGAAACAGATTTTTTATTTTAATTTGCTATTTATGAAAGAATATACGGTAATAACGTTTTCGCAATAATAATATTTATCTCGGCGTATATTTACTATAGTACGTATGATGGAATAAGCCTCTGATGTGGCTATAAAACTGTTTACAGTCAGGTAATGGAAATTTCGCTTCGAGGCTAGTTTGGTTACCTTAACAAACACTTGCCAATGCATTAAGTAGGTACGTCAAACATTTTTTGATTCTAAATTCTGTTTTGATGCTATTCTTGTTATTAAAAATATGTGAGATCTTTTATTAATTCTTTATTATACATTTAGTTATTATATACGTAATAGACTGCTTGAAATAATCGAATAGAAAGAATAAAAGAATAGAATAGCCTTTTATTCTATTGCATACGTAAAAAATATTACAATTTTCAGCAATCTAATATAAGTGCATAATATACAACATAATTTTCTTTTAGTATTTAAGTGTCCATACGGACGTGGTTTTCATAAGTAGCATATGTTTATATTAGCTTCCACGAACTTTATTTTTACGTATGTGTACATAAATGACTGTAAAACAAGTTTTCTTTTGTAAATTAAGTTTTAAATATAAGTTGCTCATTAAAAAATTGTGATTATACAAACAAATATGTAACTTTCGTTTTTATAAAGTACACATTGTTTAGTTTAGGACATAGTAACTAATATTTCCGTAAGTCGGTGTTTGTCAGGGCTTTGCTTGCATTATAGAGTGGATCCAAAAATAGATAAGCACCTCCATAGCGAACTAACATTGTAGCGTACTTATGTATGTAGGCCGCAACATGCAGCCGCCGAAACCCTCTGCTATTATTATTTTCAAACCTATTCATGACCCTCTGTTATTACAGCGTCCTTATTTAGCACATTCATACAAATATTTCATTCTTGCGAAATTTTATACACAACGAAAATGGACATTGCGAGAACTGTGAGGAAACTGACTTTTATTTCTGGAAGTTTTTAAAATAGATTCTCCGTTTCATTCATTTTGCTTTTAGTTTTGGCGTGGACTATATAACTTATGAGGGATATTTAATTACTTAACCTTATCCTTACACGGAACTCAATAATTTGATTACTATTCTGTTACAAGGTAACCACTTATTTTATATACATACTAGAAAAGCCATCCCCACCGGATATAAATTAAAAATAGTATGTAATTATTACTTCGTTTTCTTTATATGATTCAATGCTATGAATTTATAAATGTATGCTAAATTTGTATGTGTCACTATTGCGTAAGTTAAACCGAATTTTTCATGGAGGAAGCCGAATGATGTCATTTCGGCAAATTTCATCCTACGTTTTAGGGTGACCTTTGAGATATCTGCGGCGCCATGGTTTCCACAATGCATTTGACGCCTACGCATCCTGAACAATTTTATTCCCATATAACGATTCTCGAGTTGTTTTTAGTACCAGCAATAAAGATTTCTAAAGAGCTTTTGCGTTTCATATCCTTCATATGGGTCTGATTTTATTGTGAGCTGATAAAAAATATTTATTTTATTTTAAAAAAAGTAAGCTGAACATAAATATTTTGTTTTCGCGAAAGAGCAAATATTGTATTAAGTTAATCGTATATCTGTCGGACAACCTACGCAACAGTGAGTCAACAAAAATTGATCTCGAGTGGGCGATCGTTGATATGTACATAAATACAGATAGTTCATTTTTAATACGGCGCCATAAGACTTCATATTACTCAATACATTTTCTTATATTTGAGCTGATATAACATATTTTTTAAAGCATCACCAGACAGAGTTAACCCTGTAAAATCTTTAGCACGTGTACGTTATGAACATGTCTAATAATGAGGGGATTTAGCGAGCTATATCTACGTAAGTGCAAGCCTAGTAGAAGCCTCTGGAATAATGGTCTATTGTTTGTCGCCCACAACTCCACTATGGCTACGCTCCAAATGATTCTATAAACGTAATTTCAAATTCCTTTAAAAATACTGAGATATTGTCCTAAAACATTGTTTGAGAATTTTATGGCGCATTTCGTTATATTTCGTATCTGTATTAATAACTACATAGCTTTTGACCATGACATTTTTAAACTAACTGTCAAGGAAAAAGGAAGGTTTTAAAAGAGAATCCGATCAATATAAGCTTAAGAACAATTACAATCTGAAATGAATCCCCAAAAATTGTGTGTTAAATTCGTGGATTAACCTCGACGCCGAGGAGCAAGGACGAGAGTCGAATTTTGTGTGTTTCGTACCTTGTTTTCATTATCTCCTTTTAAAAGATACTATTGATTTATTTAATTAAATTTTATTTTTTTTAAAAGACAGAGTTGGCTTGTAGGTTTATTTTAATAAATGAAATACATCATATTTTTTCTTCTAAAATCTATTTCGTTTATTTCTCTTTAAAATAATAAACTTCTAAATGTGATCGATACGAAACTAAACGGTGACGCGTACCAAAAAATATACGAGGATGTAGTTCCCGGTGTCGATAATATTTTAACCACAAAATTCCAGTTGATTTATGAAATTTGCTTCTATTAAAATTAAACAATTTATTACCAGCCTCATAAAACTCTCATAAAATTGTCGTTTATAATGTATTTATTCACTAATACTATCACTAACATTATATTTAAAAGCTCAAATTTTGCGGTTTACTGAAATTTGACAAGTAAGAAAATGTTATCATGAAATATAAACGTAATATATTGAGAAATAAATGCATTAAAAATATTTTGTTAAAACCATTTTCATGTTTCTATTAGTATAAAATATAATATTATATAGAAGAATCTGTTGGTGCCATTTATTCAGTCAGTGCGCTTATTAAGACACCATTTGTTCAATCAACATCCACAAGATCAAAGTCTCTTCACATACACCAAAATAAATTTTCAATATACTCTATTTTTAGAAGCATTTCTTAACGTATTCGACCTTGGTAAAATTCTTTAAATTTTCTTTAGTAGTGTTGCTTTACGAAGGATTTTTCTTTTCCCGCCTCCTCCTTATTTTTACTTGCATTTATGAATCATTGCATGGAATTACTATTTTTTTCATTAACAATTAAATTAAAGTTTCAAGTTGGTAAATAAATAGATTTGTTATATATAAATATATTTTATTTACATCACCTAAATACCAAAGAAAATTATAGTTATTTTAAGCCTTTATCTTATCAGTATTAATTTACTTCTAGAGTTACATTTCAGTCTTGAAGGGTAGCCGAATTAATTTGCGTATAGTAAGACACAGGCTTTCATAATATTATATCCAACAAGGGTATTAGGAAGTGTGACGCTTGAGCCTTGATAAATCTATGCAAATACCCGTTGCCTAAAATTAACTAAATTGTTTAATATACATAGCAATATTGTTGCTAGTATAATGTAATTCAATTTATTTTAATATAGCCAGTTTATACGAACACATACAAGATTACAATAGTTAAAATATGTTTATTTAAATTACAGTATGAAATATGGCCAATGCAGTCTGTTTACAGTAAGATTGTTTATCTATATATATAAAAGAAAGTCGTGTTAGTTACTCCACTTATAACTCAAGAACGGCTGAACCGATTTAGCTGAAAATTGGCAGGGAGGTAGTTTAGAGCCAGGAAATTGCGATAGGATACTTTTTATCCCATTCGACAGCATTCCCGTGGGACTTGACATGAAACGTCAGTCACTATAAAACGTGGAATAACGAAACACAATTGAAAGCTATGCAATTGACGTATAATGACAGATGTAAAGACGTATGGATGACATTTTGATATTTGTATGAAATCTTTATGTATAAAAATGAATTGCTGTTCTTTAATCTCACTAAAACTCTAGAACGGCTGAACGGATTTAGGGAAGGTTTAAAAGCTGAAAAAATTTATTCATTTCCAGGGAAAACCCTAAAAACAGCCTCTTTCTATTTCCCATACAAACGTTTTTTTTGACATTAGATTTGACAACTAACTAATATGTCAATCATTCTGTCGCACTTCAAAACACGGAGATTTATGGCTTAAAGGTAAACTCCAAAAATATAAATTAAAAAAACGTAACAGATATTTCTTGATTATAGAGCGATACGAAGTTCACCGGGTCTTCTAGTACATATATAAAAATGAACTGCTGTTCGTTAGTCTCACTAAAACTCGAGAACGGCTGAACGGATTTATCTTATCTTAGTCATGAAATGTTCGTGGAGGTTCAGGGAAATTTTAAAAGCTGGAAAAATTGATTCATTTCCCGCAAAACCCTAAAAACAGGGCTTTTCTTTTTCCCATACAAACGATTTTTTTTTTGACATTAGATTTGACAAATAACTAAAATGTCAGTCATTCTGTCGCACTTTAGAACACGGAGATCTATGACTTAGAGGTAAACACAAAAAATATAAACAAAAAATTATTTATTGATTGATTGAGGCAGTACGAAGCCTGCCGGGTCAGCTAGTTTGGTTATAAATATGATGGTTGTGTTCAATAAATAGGCTATTTTATAAAAAAAATACATTTACGTTTATTCTCTTAAAATTAAAAGTTATTAATGATTCTGAATTAAGCATTATTTATTATTGAACTTAGAATTATAGTTCGTTTTGTTCTCGTTTACTTTTTTTTCATCCTGTTTTGTTTATTTTGTAAATATATATTCAAAAATATTAATATTTAATACACATGAAAAAAATACTTTAACTTCTGAAATCGTATATTTTATTTCTTTGTTTAAATGATTACAGTTATTGTGTCCAAGGAAATTTATTGATGACTATCCCTATCAAAGTAAAGAATTTTTTTATGTTATCTATTTATATTACTTTCCTAAAAGAATTATAGATGTCTCAAACTTGAAATAAGTCTACAAACAGTAATTATTTCGCTATTAGTTTTATAACAAATATTGAGTATCAATTAATTTTATAAACACGTACATATAAATCAAAACCCCTATATAGTATAAAGAAACTATTAATTTCCAGATGTTATGATCCTTATTCACAAAGTTGGTAGCCGATTTCATTTCTCTATATAGAACGGGCAATTTACGTCATTTTCTACAAAGATATTTTTCCCTTCACGAACACTTTCTACCTTCTTTTCATTTAAATAAAGAAAATGAAATGTAATTTTGATAAAATTGACTACTTATTAAGTTTGTATCTCGTGTGTTTTGTTATTTGAACTCAATTAATTAAAGAGAAAATTATAAATAGCTGACATTTTCAAAAACATGTTGATTATATGAGGCGGATTGAGAAAAATATTTAATCCTCGAGTCCTTATCTTTAGGGTCTTTTCCTGTTCCATTCCTTCCTAATTTTATTTGTTACGATCATCGTTAAAGCCGCTTCTAAATAGTTAAACACATGCAAATTAAAAACGCAATTTAGTTATATTTTTCAAATATTTTTGCTTTTTTTTTAATTTCCTTGTTAGAATATAAAATTGAAACTGAAACTACACATTTATACTTAGTTTAGTTATTACACATCGATCCATATACAGTGTTGAGACCTCAGATAATTTTGTACCCTCATAATTTATGAGTAGTTGTTTATGACCACCTCACCAAATGGCTTTTGTTAATGTTTTTCTAATGTGTTCCAATTCTATCAACTATAACTAAGTAGGTAATAACAATATCCTTTATTAATATTATAACTTGCAATAAGTGTATGATTATTAATATTAATATTGTTTTGATTTTCGAATACAGCACAATACAGTTGATAATGTTTACCAGATATAAATTGATCAAAAGAAATCTCTACAGGTTTACAAATTACTTTACCGTGTGGGCGAATGTTATTGTGTTTGTTTGTAAAACTAGGGCACTTTGATAGAAGAGACAGGAGCAAAATGGGAATTTCAAGTAAAAAATAATAGTCTTCTTTATAAATTAGCAATGGTTTCGTTTGTTTTTTATTAAACCTTTACTATTATAAGTAGTTGTTTTTCCAGGATAAATTTAAGATCGATGGCATAAAATCGCCTGAAATTTAAGACTCCTTGTTCAATATAAAACTACAGATTTCATTAATAAAGAACTAATAATGATTACTCTAATATAAAAATAATAATGTAAATAGATTCTGAAACCGACTTTGGCTTTGTAAAACAATAAATGTGTTGAGTTTTTTTATTATAACTAATGATTTTACTGTAACAAATTTTAAATATGTGTTTGAAACACTTAAGTATAAACATTTAATTTATTTAATTGATATGATTAAAACCTTCTTTATATATTATATATACAGGAATCATACATTTTATTAATATATTTCAAAACTCTATATGTATATAATGACATTATGTAAATGTTGTATACTTTCGTCTAGTGTACGTAATTAATAAATCAATTACCCTTACCTGAAGATTATGGTAGAACCAAAGAGAACCGGTAACTGAGATGGCAAACCAGAGGAACAAAGTGAAGACTGATATTTGGCTGAGATGTAAAGCGTTTAACAGCGCTGACAGAACAACGGCTAAAGCGTGGCAAAGCACTACCGGTAGAGCGCACCGGTCTATTATGTCCCATGGCACCTCCTGTCAACATACAAAATGGATTAAATTTCAATAACACGATATTATACTATATTGGAAATATTTTAACCAAAAGCTACTATCTGTCTGTCTGTCAAAAAATGACTTATCACCTCAATATAATATGTATATCCTTAGTATTTTATAAGATCAAAAATTATTTTTAGGTGTGACATTCTACTAATGCTTCTCTGCTTGTTTTCCAATATAAATTAATTATTTCAACCGACCCACTTAGATTAAACTTCTCCTTCGGGACATATGTACTTCCTTCTAAATTAAAAGGGAAACAATTTTATTTTTCATTTGCGGAAAGTTATTTTTATACTTTTATTAAACGGTGTCAAGGCTTGCTTTATAAATGTTACAGGATAAGGAGAAAAGAAATTCTTTTATTGAAGGTGGACAGGAACGAAAGTTACGCCAAAAAAATATGTACAAAAGGAAAATTCAAATAACGTGAAAAGAAAATAATTTACTTGCCCACAATCCTAATTTAAGATTTTGAAGATGCCCTTTTAACGACGGTGAGTTAAAAGAAAATCTACGATATATTGTAAACCCAAATAAATGAAATAATTAATGGAACGCTAATATAATACAACAGTTTGATAATTTTTATTTCACTTTGACTGTTTTCTAAATAAGTTTACTGTGATGAATGAGAGTGCATACATTATATGTGCATGCAAATTTTTCAATGATGAAATGAACATTAATATTTCTTATGAACTAGCTCTGAAGCCTTTGAAAATAGTAAAAAGTGAAAAATTTGAAGTATGAAACCTATAGAAGTTCTTAAAATAACAATGAAAAGAACAACAATTACAAGCAATCTGAAGTAAGTGTTTTTAAGGGTATAATTCTTTTTTCTCAATTTCCTGCCAAACTATAAATCCTATGAAAACTTAATAATAAAAATGCTACTTTTATATTTCTACCGTTATTTGTCAATCTAAGCCCAGTATGGCCGAAAAGTATAGTATAACCTTGGGTAATATACATCCAAAACAAACAAATCAGGAAGTCTATCTAAAGAGTGAGAAATTTTCGTGGGAGCAAATGTGATCTTGCATTATAAAATATATGTATGTATGTGTTTAAAGATACGGTCATTTACCCAATATTACAAAAATCATAAATCCCTTAATGCGGAAAGCACAAACGTACGAATTTGAGATAACATCTGTATAGATTTCGGTAAAGATGCTGTTCAACATTCAAACTAAGAGTGTGCAATTTTCAGTAAAATACAGTAGGTACAGAAGGGGAATTCTGTAATGTTGGGTTTGCACAGTACACAAAATGCAGGGTAGTATTGTCGATTATGCTGTTGTGTACTTATACTGATAGCTCTTACCTGTTGGTCAAGTATATATATCGCCTAACAAGAAGGACATCTTATTAAATAACATAAATTGATCCAAATTGACCGGTAAACCACAATCTAAGAAAATCTAATCTTCGAATAGGATGAATAAACCGAGAAACGTATCGATAGCTAAAGCGTGTAAAATGAATTAAAAGTGATTCTTAAAAATCAAGCGTTTATTTAAATTTAAAACAAAAAAATGTTAAAACTGTTACATTCTACTTATAATCTCATTGCATCATCTCAACATCGTATATGATATTAAAGTTTAATATGTACGCAATTTAATTACATTTATTTAAAATAAATTCTGTAATGACGTCACTAGTAAAACCAAAGTCTTTTATATGGTACAGAAACCTTAAAGTCACTGTTGATTTACTACAAATACCTTTCAGCTAAATAAATGCAAGAAATATAAAGAGACAGTACAATGAAATAGTTTTTCATCTCGTCAAAGTAACTAAGCATGTCGTTGTAATAGAACACGTGACATGATTGAAACGGAAAAGCTGTGATCATGTAAATGCGATACTCTCAGAATATAAAATATTAAAGGCTATTTTAGTTATAAGAATGAGAAGAGACATATTTAGTTTTTAGGCTTGGAAATAAGAAAGGTTCCTTCGTGAGTTTTCCTATAACACTATTTACAAATATTCGTAATAAATTTACAAAGATATTTACTCGTCTAATTTGTTCAATTATTTATTACAACGATAGATGAACTGTTTATATTATTACATTGGCAGACTCTAAAATAGTTCACATGGTCAACTAAATAAATATAACCACATGGACTCTAGTTCCATAAATATTAGCCAAAAGTTAGTTCTGAATAGCGAGTCTAAATACACTCTGTAGTCGCTGAGCGTTTTACGTCAGAGCTTGCATAAATAGATGTAGAATGCTGTGGCAACGAAGAAAAAGGGAAATTGCAATGTTTATTTTTAGATAATTTGTTTAATGTACGGAATCTTGTTATTTATATTAAGTTTTAAAATGGTTTTTATTTTTTTAATCCTGTGGAGTGATGTATTATTGTATATTAATAATGAATATATATTGTAAAATATAAATCTATATAATTTTAAATATTGTACACAAAGAGTAAAGAGTAAACCTTAACTTAAACAGCAATCCGCTTTAAACAACAATAAGATTTATTAAGGATCTATTAATATTATTGATATATGTATGTATAAATTGGTTGTAATTCGTAACAAATTTGAATAATTTATGACTTCGGGTACTAACGATAAACAACCGGCATAGTTATCATCAATAAGATATAGTGATTCCTTCAACTGATATAACGAGGGTATGTTACGAGTATATGATGAAATTCTACAAAGGTAGGCCCGGAGCAGTTGCCTTCAGATTCTAGCTGAGTACGATACGAGAAAACTTTTGTTCTATCAAAAACTTGGTCACTGATTTTAAAATACCGCTAAAAAACTACACGATTGTCAGGTAGAGAGCCTGTTGAATCAGTTACTGAGCCATGAATATTAGCTCCTGAGCATACATATGTATACAGCCTTGAGCAAATAATCCTAAGAGTGTGAGCAAGAATCGCACTGTTTAAATTTTTCATACAACGATTAGGAAAATCAAGAACTCGGTGGGTCTTCGCTCTTTCGTTGTAAAATTTCTTGATTTTTGGAGCATAGCGATAAACTTTATCCCTCATCAAAGGATTATAACAAATTGTATTACTCTATGTTTCTTGGCACATACAATTTAGACGTTTTCAAGGCGAGAGCAAATGTGCTTTTAATAGATAGTGCCTTTAGTATATCAGACTATACTTGTAATGACTCTCAAGTGGGGTAATAATTAATTAAAGATTATCAAATATTTAATTAAACAAAGTAGTAGTACTTAACAAATAAATACAAGTTAGGACATACGTTTTCAACTACATTTTTCCAAGCTTCAAAAAAGGCCTAGCATTTAGATTAATATTATTAGTAGTAGCAAATAGTAAAAATGGCTTTAGCAAGACTTGCTATGGTATTAGTAGTGTCAATAATGAAAAGTTTATACAAATTAATATATCACCTGAGAAGACGATGGTTGAGAACTCTTGATCAGTGAACCTCTCCTGGCCGAAGGACGGCGATGCATAGAGGGTGCCGTGATAGATGCTCGCCGCGTCACGTCTCCAGCGGCCATACTGCGAACTATACCATTATCAGCTATTTTAAATCAAACAATAAAGTACTTTGATAATATACAACATAATATACTGTTATATTGTGATTCCAATACTTAATATTTAACGGCTGTATTTGGGAACATAAAGTGAGTTCTTTTGTACCAAACCAGTCAATTAGATTGCGTAAAACAATGATAAGTTTATTCAATTGACAGCTTCATACGCATATTGTGTGAAGTAATGGATGTGATTTATTGCTGTCATAACGAGATATCGGCCCTGAAAGCGTGATCTCTAGGGAGTTCTGCCTCAAATTTTCGACTTCAGCCGTGTTGGCTTTTTTTATTACAATATTAATAGGGATTCTAAAATCGATGTTGTTTTTAAAGTGGCGTTTAAAATGTTATGTTTTCATCACATGTTTAGAATATATGTAGCTGAACATGATTTCAGAATAGAAATGATATATGTACGAATGGAACGAAGTGCGTGACACTGTGTGACAAGAAGTCGGATTGTCAACGCGGGTGTTACTTCGCAAATAGAAAGTGCAGCCGGCTTAAATGTCACAGATCTTTTCTGACTGCTGCCCGCCGCAGCCGGACAAATGTTTATTTTTAAACTACCTCTACCGCGACCTAAAATATTGCTCCACATTAATATAATTTTTGATAGACTTCCAGTGGGTGGCGTTATTTCATGTAGTACAGAGACCGGAGTGTTTTTTTCTGGCCTTAGTGCCAGTTGAAGTTATTAAACAAATAAATGTCGACATGGTAACATAAACCTAGTAGTTTATATTTGTCTTAAAAGTCTACACCTACGTAAGAATTATCTGATGAAAATTCAGGCAAAAAGTAATACAACTTTCATCAAAGGATACTACAGAGATATCAAAACACTAAATATTTTATACGATAAAATTTACTATTTTCAAAGGAAATATTATTGAAGTCCTATGTAAAATTTAACGGTTTCTCTTATAATAGTAATTAAAACATAGGGCTCAATTTTTTTACAAAATAAATTACTGAAGTACTACAAAAACCACTACAGAAGGGATATATATTTCAATAATAAGGAGTTACGTACCGAATCGCGAAATAATTGGGTTCCGAGAAAAAGTTACCGTTATTTTACATGAAATATTATGCTTTCCTTTTTTTCTTATTATCCAAATATGATTTACATTATTATATTGATTTCATTCCGTTTATATTTTTTTAAATCTCTCTGTTCGTAAAAGACACTGACACAATTACTGTACTCAGAAAGTGGCATATTTGTAGGAGAAAGATTCACCGTTTTGCTTTGCAAGCTGCCACTTTAAGCTATGCGTTTTATTTTACTACAATTTGGAACGATATTCTGCATGAGCATGCATTACTGAACAGTAATACCCCGTATTATGCGAGACCAATTTATGCATCATTATTCGTTTATGAACAATTTGAATGGCTTAATTATTATATGTGCGTTACAGCATCATCTTTTTATATTAAAAAAATCACGCTTTAAAGTATTTTACACTAACCAATTGCTTTGGTTTATTAATTATGTATTAATATCGTTTATGTATTGATTTATTACGAAATTTAAACGTATTTGTATATGGACACGTGACTAAACTTAATAATTAATATATTAAGGAATATAAAACAATTAGAAATAATGTGCCGTAGTAATTACGAAGATTACAATTAATACTATTACAGTACTTCATGTTAATTTATGAAAAACATGACTCTTTAAATTTAAAAGCTACGAAAGCTGAATGAATTTCAAGAAATATCTTTAAATATACAACTTTGTTAGCATCGCAACAACTTCTTAAGATGTTAATCGTATGAAACGAGTTTATTTAGGTACATAAATAACTATTTCAGAGTTTCCATTCACTCTGGATATGTTAATATTAGTTTTGGCGAGTTTGATTTTTTTAGGAAATTATATAGTAATAAGGGGAATTTATATATCGATTAATAATAAAACTAGTGAAATAACTAACAGTATTCCAATAGTCTATTGAAATAAATTTAGTTTCTAAAAGTCTATCCAAAACTAAAGTTTACATGGACTTAAGAATAACCAAACGTATTAAAAGGATTTTGTTTCATAAATTATGTATATTTCAATATGATGGAACGATTAAAATGTATTTTCATAAGTTTGTATAAACACTGACAAAAGTTTAATTTACGAAAGGATATTTAATTTGGCAACCAGTTTTTGATATTCAATGATACAGAAGGTAAAAATGAAATAGATACATTTATCTCTAGAACCGTTTTTTTTGTGGAATAAAGTATTGTTTTCATTTAAAATGAAGCTTTATAGCCTGTATGGTCTTAATTTATGAAATAAATTACAAATAACCTTTCAGATATACGCTATCTAATGTTTTACTTTTTTAATAAAGTATAAAATATAGAAACGTAATTCTAACTTTTAGTTGTTTTTCAAGACCATAAATATGATTTCATTGAACTTTAAAAGCTATAATTTTCACGTGTTTTAGAAAAACACCTAATTGAAATATTGAATATTATTTCATATTCTTTTAAAGATAAAGTATCATTGAATTGTTTAATACTTTCAGTCAGAAAGTCATTTATTTAGTTAGATGAATATCTAATTGCTGCCTGTACCGGTGCAGATTATCCACATAATATCAAGGCTATAGACCAAAATATCAATGACGATCGAATTAAATGTAACATTGGATAACCGTTTAATATAAATTTCTGGTGGAGCTCCAAATCATACAATTTTAAATTACATTCTATGATAACAAATATTCGATATATAAATTATTTACAATAGATTAATAATAATATTTGGAAAATATTTCTGTGAAATATTTCAAAATTATATAGAAAAAACAGTTATTACTGCATATGCATATGTATATGTTGTTAAATGACAATAATTTATTGAGATTTTTCAATTCAAATTGTTCTAACTATAATATAATAGTATGTATACTAAATAATATATTGAGATTATAAATACATTAACCCAAAATGTTTTTATTTAACCCATTTATATTTATTGGCAGCCGAACCGAATGGCAAACATTTATAATGTAAACTTAAGGCTCTGCCAGCTAATATATTATAATTATACAATTATGCTTGTCTTTTTATTGCCTATATGTATTTCTGTATACCATATTTGATGTATTAGTTAATAGAAATAATTAATGCCGCCGGCGTATACACGTTGTCTTATTAATTATATTTTTGTATCATAAATAACGATGTTCTACAGATTTCTATTGAGATTTAGTAGCCTCTGAAGTCTTTCGCATTTAATAAATACGTAAAATATAATTAACTTATATTTTACGTATGGATTTATAAAATAGTACTGTTTATTTTATGCCGTTTTCTCGTTACGTAACAGTATTATCCTATCAAAAGATTGACTTCGAACTAAACTACTTGAAGAAATACTTTCCTTTGAACGAACCAAAAACTAACTTGACTTATTTTGCAGTTTTTAATGCCTCGTTCTGCTTTTACAAAGTTTGCTAACTGGCTTACCAGATTACGTTATCAAGTTCCGTATGAAACATGAATATTAAACTAGGTATGGATATTTTGTCACACAACTATCACTGTAACACATATATATATATCATTGGAAATACTTAATACATTGCTTCATTATAATTATCGATCGTTATTATTATCTGTTACTAATCAGTCACTAGATTTAATTAATAAAATAAAATTCCGTACATTTATTATGAGATGGCTGTGTCTATATTTCACAACAGTGCCAGTCTCGTCGACTTCGTTTCAAGACGGACCGCGGGATGCCACTGTAAGATATACTCTACCGAACGTGTTAAATTTAAACACATACACAATATTATTTATTATCCACTACATTTTAAGATACATCGTAAAATTCGAATGTAGACCTGAATAATGTCGGATTAAAATTTATTTTGGCTAAACTATTATAAGAAATGTATATATAATTTATATTTTTAACATTCTTTATAGCATTTAATGGTTAAAGAGCGATGAACTTAATAATTCATTACATTAACAAATTTATTTTTAACAGCATTCATTGATAAATGAATGTGTTGAGATTTAAAACAGATAATACTATTCAAGTTTAGAATTTGGGACAGAAATTAATCAAACTGATGTAAAACGCTGTAAATGACGCTGTTAAATTATATTTCATTTATGAGTGAAGTTAATAATAATTATGATAATATTCAGTGATGCTCTTGATGCATAATTAGTTTATTCATGTGTAAGTCAGAGTTTAATTTACATTTTCAATTAATGCAACTTTGCTTTAAATTATCACTTGTATGTTTATTATTTCACATATTCTCTATGGCTGGATAGTATTGATCTCTTGAGAAATATCTTTTGAATAGAGGCTCTTCGTTCACAGGTAACGGAATCTAAGTTTGCAGTCAAAGGACGCTCTGCGATTTAATTATTTAATAATTTATTTGATTAAATCGTTTACTCAGTGGTGTTCAAAGATTATTTAAGAATTATCTATCGGTTTCAGCCGCTTCTTTGATTTAAGAAACGGATAAATCCGTATTTTTTATACGAATAATTTAAAATGATTATAATTAACTACTTAATCTATGTACTTTTTAATTTTTTTATTATCTTTGAACTGTAATATATGTAGTTTAACAGAGGCATTTTGTTGCGATACTTGAGTTTATACATATATCATAAGATGACTCCCTATTATAATTGTCATTTGATGTGCTTTATCAAATTTGTTTTATTTTTATGAAGGACTTTCCTCTTTAATTTATAAGGGACAGACTGATTTGAAAAACAAAAACAAATTAGCAGTTGTATGAATGAAATTAAATACATAAACAAAATAATAATAACTGTCTAAAAATGTTCTATTTTTTTTACAAAAAGATAACAGATTTTTTTTATTTTTATTTTAACGTGTTTGTCAAAATCATAAATGTTAAAACCCGACATAATATGCATATTTATAGGTATCAACTTAT